AAGCAATTTATTAAGCATACATTAACTTCATTTTACTTCATTTTACAGAATATAATGAAAACACTCTCAAAAAGAACATGTTAAGGCAATATCCAGGATCTCTCTATTCTGATATTCTCACAGACCAGGGCTCTGCATCTGTAAGACTGAGCAGGCTTCATAACGCTGTTCTCCGGCTTACAGGAACCCTCCAGGGGAAATGAGAGAGAAGTTTTCTTTCCTCTTGCCTGGAGAAAGGTAACCATCTATTTTATACTATGACACGTCCGGTAACACCTTGACTATTCACAGTCATGCCACAAATATATTTTAGAGCTAATGCTAATCTCATTATCCATAGCACCAGGGCTACAGGTAACAGAAAGCCATTGATACTTCAAGCTTGAATTTTTATGTACGTACATGTTATATATGCATAGAATATTTCTGGAAGAATATACAAAAAACCAAGGACAGTGATTGCCAACTAAGAAGGGGCTTGGGATGAATAAGGGCATGAAAAGGAAGAAAATTTATTTGTCAGACTCCTTCATACAAATTTTGTTTTATAAACATGCATTACCTACTGAAGGTCAAGTAAACAAATAGGATGGCTTTTCAGCTCATCCTTTACTTTTCTTCATTTATTTATTGATTTTCATTACTATGTTTCCAGTACATAATGCTTACATTCATTGTGGAGAGTTGGCACATGTACATCACACATCTTAATTTTTTTTAATGCCCTTCCCTACTCTCCTCTTCCCTCCTTCCCCTTCCCTCCACTTCTCGGTCCCCTTCCCTCTTGCAAAAGTTCTATCATCCTTTTAATTCTCTATCTCACTCCTCTAAGGGCTCCTTTGAGTCCCCACTCTCCAGGCTCCAAGACACGCAAACTACTGATGAACTGAACTGCAGCCAGACACAACAAAACTCACTAAGGAAGTTTTTCAAGGTTACATCCCTTACTGACCCAACCTAAGACGCCAAGCAAGTCTTTACCTACATAGAACCCAACTTAAAACAGCAAGTGCTTTGCCTTTTCGTCTTCATTTGGAATCACACAGGTCAAACATCCTAACTTCAGAATCAACTAATCAATTCTTTCCCAAGCAAGTGTATTGTGCAGGAATCTTCTCAGAAGAGATCTACAGACAAACAGTAAGCCCCAAAGGAGTGTCCCCGGGCCTTGTGCTGTAACAGACACTTGATTTTCAGTCTCAAATCAGGATACTGAATACTCCCTGGCCTCTAAAATGCAAGAATTATGAAAAGAGAGTTTGTTGGAAGCAATATAAACCTGTAAATCCTGTTAGGCTTTGTGCTTCATTTCAAATGATTTTTTCCCCCAAAACAATGCCATTAGTACACACCAATATGATATTCCTAAGAGGGAAGATTCTGTAAAATAAAATCCTACCCCTTCATTCAAAATAACTCCAAGATGGCACAGGAAAATCAGGGCTCCACCACCCAAGGGTAAGGCCATCTGCATCCTCACCACTGAGCAAGCCAACTCATTTCACCATCCATTTGTGTGCTCACTGCAGTCCTCCTTATAAAAATACCTTTTATATAAGTTGAACATGCTCCCTACCCTGCAGGCCTCTCTTCTTCCAGGTGTGAAGTTGCTCCACAAATATTCATTAAGGGCCTCCTGGTGCCAGGGAAACACAGAAAAGAGCTAGATTCATGCCCTCCAGGAGCACATAGGGCAGTGAAGCAAGTATAACAAGAGGCAGTCAGGGCTGGAACTAAGCTCAAAGAACTCTTTCCACTGGAGCCTGGGAATACTGAAAGGTATTGCTTGACACTGAAGAACAGAACAGGGGTTTTTCAGGCCAATGCAAGAGTCGGGGGGAGACAAGAACAAAGCAAGTATGATGGTACAGAGGCAGGGAGCCAACATGAAATCAGGAAGAAATCACAGTATCAAGAACTATGGAGTCCCTCTTCTTGAACTTGGCTTTAAAGAAAAGACTTATCTAACACAGATTTTCATTATTACAAACATTACCTCTAAGAAATCATGTCAGAAGCCAGTCTCCCATTGCTAGAGATTTTCCTAGTTGACTCCACAAGTTAGCAAGGCAAGGGGAAAAGAATAGCTATGGACACCAGTGCAGGCTCTTTCTCAGATGCAAATATACTCCACAAAAGCCTTCCTTTCCTTTCCCTATTCCTGAAGTTGATGGCCTTTCACTCACCTCTCAGGCTGTCTTCAGACAGCTTCTGCTTCAAGCCCTGATCTGTGCAGCTAGAGCTGCAGAATGCCCTGGCCCCATTCGACTGCATCCCTGGAGCCCCTCCTGTCCCACAGGCCACTAATGCATCACTCTGGAGTCGTGCCTGCATCCAAGTTCACTTTTCCCGTGTGTTACATTTACATGCCTGTATTTGCATCTGCTTCATCTCCTTAACTTTTAAGTTTCCTAAAAGCAGGGATAAAAATCTTATTCTTCACCTCCTCACCATCCTCAGAGAAACACTCCATTCAGAAAACACTACAATTATTTAGGTTTTAAAGTTGAAGGAGACCTGGATGTGGTAGCTCCTACCTGTAATCTCAGCCACTCAGAAGGCTAAGGCAGGAGGATCACATGTCCAAGTCCATCCTGGGCAACTCAGTAAGACCTTATCTCAAAAAAAGATTTTAAAAGGGGTTTGGGGGGCTGGTGATGTAGCTCACTGTTCACTGAGTTCAATCCCCAGTATGAGGGGAAAAAGTTGAAAGGGCATTGTAGTGGAACTTGGCGTAGGGCTAGAAGTAGAATGACTGCATCCTGACACTTTTGAGAGTGAAGGGGGCACCATCATAACTGGGTCTGTTCCACGAGAAACAGGCAAATGGCCATCCTTGCTAGAAAGGTCATTCCAAAGAGACGTGCACTACACTGGAGCTCCAAGGAGATCCAGACCCCTGCCATCACTTAACTCCTGTGACTGAAGGGTCTGCATCAGATAGAACTTGTGGCAGAAAACCTATACCAGAAAGTTCTTCCTTCTATCTGACTCAAATCCTTAAAGATTAAGGTTAATGGCACTTTTCACTAACCTCAGGGCAACAGAGAACAAGGACATAGGAAAGCAGCCACACTAAAGGAGAAATATCTTCACTCTTCGCTACGAATATCTCATTGTGAGTTCTAATGCTAGTTCTACATGCTTCAGCTGAACCAAACTCAGTCTGCCTGGCCCAGAAACATAAAAGCTGAGGGATCTGGAGACCCTCCCAATGAGAACAGAGTTCATTTCTAACTTGCCCCAGATTCCCAAGAGATTTTTACAAACCAAAGCCAAGGAAGAAATGGCACCTGTGTGCATATTTTTGTGACCAGAAATCTCCTCTCTCAACCAAAAGTATGGCTTCAGGGAACCTAAATTCTGGGAAAGATTATCCCCTACCCTCCATTCCTGGGCAAAGAGCAAGGCAGAGCTGGGCTGGCTGGAGAGACTCAGTGAACAAGGGAGTGTTTATTTCCCCCACCCTAATCAGCTCCAAGCTGGTGTCCCTGTGGTGAACAAGGACCTTGCTGGCTTCCTTTCAGCAATACAAAAAAGAAGTTTCAGCTGGGGGTGGAGGGTGGGCACTGGAGATGGGTCCAAGAGGAAGGAGCTGGTGCACTCCAGCAGCCTGAGGCCCCCAGCAGTTACAGACCCTCTGGCACAGGGGTGGTGGGTGAAAGGTCAATGGTCCCACCCATTCACCACTCCCGTCCCCTCTTTAGAGCCGTATATATATTTTACTCTAGAAAGGAGGTATTGAAGAAGCAGTGTGTAAGACAGTGTGACTCCCATCACCCAAAGGTCAGTGAGACAATGCAGACAAAAACTAGAGACCTTCTTCTCATTATGACCTTGGGCTCCTCACTTCACTTGTTCCAGTTTCAATTTCTTCAGCCAGCAAACAACACAACAGGGTGACAGGGTATATAAGGTTCTTCCTGGCTCCAAGGATTGAACATTTAATTCTACATATTTCCTGAAGGGAAGAATTGGCTACACCAAAATCGGTGAAGTAAGGCAGAACTCAGGATAATCATTTAATTTCTACTTTAAAAGGGAATATTTTGACTCTGGGAATGCTGCATATTTACCACCTGCACTGGCCCCACCTCTTCTCCCCTTGCGACCTTCTCGTTTTGCTGATGTCAATCTTAACCGCAGGACTGGAAGTCTCATGAGGCAGTAACACCGGCAAATTAATTCTGCCGATGCTGATATTAACCAAGAAACTCAGTTTGCAATTCCTAGCAGTAAGTCTAGCCATAAAAGTAAAATTCGTGGTACTTAGGATCTAATAAACCCATTGCTTGGATAGAAATAAATCACTTACTGAATAATAATGCTCACCATATTTCTTTAAGTCTTTTCAAATACCTAACTACCATGAGGGTCATTCTTGCCCCAAATAAAGTCATTATCTGGGGGGAGGCGAACCTCACATCCCCACAAAAACAAAAAACAAAAAATTCAACCCTTACACTTTACACACACACACACACACACACACACACACACACTCTTCTTCTGACTAGGTGGTTGCCAGTCTTCCGGGTTTGCCCACCTTTATTGGGGTTCAGTACGGTAAGTGTGGAACCCCTCCGCCTGCTGTTCTGTGTAAGTGCACTGCAACTGCGGGGCGCTCGCCTCCACTGCCAACAGATGATACACTAAAGAAAGCCCTTTTTTTAAAACCAGAGGCTGGTTAATGAGGCTGGACCCTCTTATACCTGCCGAAACTACCCGGTTCTGCGCACACCCTGGGGAAATATGCACAGCACCTGGCGAGTTACCTGGAATAGGTTCACTAAAACCGACAGGAAATAGGAAAGATCAACGCGATTCAAGTGCTGAATCGGTTGTACTCCTATGAGGAGGGATAAAAAAACAAATGCAAGCCGGGAAGTCCCTGGTGGTGCCCGCACCTGGGAGGCGACTGCAAAGGATGGATGTGGGGTTGAGGAAGTGCAAGGAGAGGAAAGAGCTGGAAGGAGGCGGGCAGCAGCAGCCTTGCTCACCTGTCCGTACACCTCGATGGGCTGGGGCTGCAGGGCAGCGCTCCGTCGCGTCCGGAGGTGCTTCTGGTCCGCCGGGCTCACCCCCCCGGCATCCTCGCGCGCCCACAGCCGCAGCTCGCGCGGGTCGCCCTGCACCACGAAGAAGCCCCTGTCCTGGGGCAAGGGCGCGCGACCCCCGTGCAGTCTCGGAGTCCAGTCCTCGCAGAGAGCCCCGGGCGGCAGCAGCACGACCAGGGTGAATAGGAAAGGGAGTCGCGACTCCCTCCTGCTGCTCCGTGTCGCCATGTTCGGGCGAACGCTACTGCAGGTGGCGCCGCCGCCAGGAGAGAATGTGCAGCGCGAGGCCGGGAGAGCGCGGGGCCGGGGCCGCGCGCGCCGCTCCCGGGGCCGGGCCGGGCCGTCTCCGCCGAAGGTCCCTCTCGGCCGACCGCCGCGCCGTCACGTGTGCGCTCGCAGTGCGTCCCCTTCGCGCACTTTCTCCGCTCGGCGGCCTCCGAGGCGACTCCGGCCCCTCTCCTGCGGATGGGGAAGTCGAGGCAGCAAGCGCCCGCGAGCGTGCGTCCGGTTCCCGGGCGCGCACCCCACGTTCTTCCTGCAGAATTAAAGAGTTATGCGGGGCTTACTCTTTTCTCCCTGGAGTTAGTTGCTTCCTCCACAGGGTCGTTCCCAGGTTGTCATGAACTGTGGTCGGTCACCTTTCCTGACTGCCCAGCCCCCTGTCCAGCCTCACCATCACCTTTCCTGTCCCTGGCCTCACACCTGTCTCTACACAAGAGCTGAAAGCCAAAGGACTTGCTCCGGGAACACCACCCCCCGCCCCCATTGTGAAACTCACAGTTTCAACTACTTTGGGCACAGAAACATATTTGATGTAGCAACAGCCAAAAACTACCCTTGATCAGGCTACACTGCCCCTGTTCCCAAACACCATAAACATTCATCCTGCACAGAGGCAGTAAAAAAGTGGGCACAGCCGACAAGGAACTTGACACACCTGTACAATTACAGTTATAGAATATGTCCTTGCACACATGAATACCTAAGCATGGCCCAGGGCCCCACGCACTGGCTTGTTTGTGATCCCTCCAAGGTGACCAAGCACTCAGCTGCCCCACCTCAGCAGTCAATGGGCATATTTTCCAGTCTTTCCCTTAACCCTGCTTGCACATATCAAGGGTGTAATAACGAAGGTTGTGACTGCAGGAAGGAGCAGACACCCGAAGAGGAGGGAGGACACACTTTAAAATCAGCTCCAGGAGCCAGCCTCTGTGAACTTTCTGAACCACAAGGAGATAAAACTTCTGAGGTTGAAACAGCTCGGGTATACCCGAGAACGTTTTTGGGGCTTGGGGAGCAGGTCCGTGGGAGCTCACACTGCAGTCTCTCCTATTTCATCTTATGTTTCTCTGTGCTCTGCACTCAGATTCTGGTTATTGATAAGAGGAAACAGAGAGAGTAGGGCTGAAGGAGAAACTACTTTTATATATGCATAAAAACTATTGGCTAGAAGAAGAAAGGGAAGATAGTCCACGGCCCCATGCTCCTCCACCTCCTCCTCAACAAACCACAGTAGCTTCGCTCTGTCCCTGGACTTCTTTCCAGTTAGCTTAACAACCCCCTTCCCTTACCCACATCATATTGCCCACCTGCTGAAAGGTAGTGCTATGGTTTGAATATGGTTTGATGCCCTGAAGCCACGATGGGATTTGATTACCATTGTGGCAGTGCAGCGAGTTGGAGGATTTAAGAGGTTAGTAGGTCACTAGGGATTAATGCCTTTCTCACCTGTGTGGGTTTGTTCTCCCAAGAGCAAGCCATTCCCTGGGTTTTGTCTCTTGCAAAGCACCTGCTTATCCTTCAGCTCTCCTCCTACAGGAGTTGAAACAACATGAGGCCCTGACCAGACACTGAGCAGATGTTGACACCATGTCCTGGGACTTCCCAGCCTTCGGGACCATGAATCAAAGCCTGGATTCTGTATAAGTCACCCTGCCTCAGATATTCTGTTATGGCAACAGAAAATGAACAAAGAAAGGCAACATTTCCTCACCTTCCCTAAGTCCAGTATCCTAACATCCTACCCTATCCCTTGCCAGTATTGCTGCCTTGCTAGACCTCAAGCTCTACAGCTCCCCCCACCTCCTCTCACCCCCGCTTCTCTCCTCCAATCAAATGTCTTTTGTCCACCTTGACATAATTACAGAACCACCCAGTTTTCCCTACCAAGCCACTGAACCATTGCTACCTTCTACTGCCCATCTAGACCAGCCCCATCTGGTCAGTATCATCACACCCAAGAGGGGACCACCCCCAGGATCTCCTGGGACCAGCAGCAAAAACATCTCTACCCTCCTCCAGCCTGCAAGAGAAAATGAAGAGAACAGGCTAGAGTCAGGACACGCTGCAGATGATTCCACCATTATTTTGTTCAACATATATTTAATGAGAACCAAAAGCAAGTGTCAGAATCCCCACAGAAAACAGAAAAGTGTCTCCAAAGTGTGGATTTGAAGATAGAGAACTGGTTTGTCCACATGAACTGCTGACTTGAGGTTCAGATGGCAATTTGCATGGACAGATTAGTGGGACATGCCAGCTACTTGCTCATTTTGATTTTGATTTGCAACTTTGATGCTGGAAAACTAGCACAAATGCTCAAACATGGTTGATTTATTTCTTGCAAGCCCTCCCTTCTAATCATTATCTACATTCCAGGCCATTCTCAGGTGGCTAATCAGCCACCCTTGAGACTGTGTGCAGTGTAACCACAGGGTACAGTAGGAAACACATTGAATTTTGAGTCAGAATGTCCAACTCCATGGCTATGGGGACTGAGTTACATAACTTCCTCTGAGCTTCAGTTTGCTCATCTGTAAAATAAGGATCTTAATCCCACCTAACTCGTAGGACAGCTAAGAGTACCAAATGATGTCATAAATATAAAATGGCTGTGCAATCCAGACATTGTGGCACACACCTGTAATCCCAGCACTCTGAAAGGCTGAGGCAGGAGGATCTCAAGTTCAAGCCCAGCCTGGACAACTTAGTGACTTAGGAACCCTATTTCAAAATAAAAAACATTTTAAAGGGCTGAGTGTCTAGCTCAGTATGAAGGCCCTATATTTTTAAAAAAGGCTTTGCAAGATTGTGAAAGCCCTCAGATAAGAGTATAGCATGCAGGTGGTATTAGAGACATGGATTCTAATTCTAGCCCTATAATCAAGTTACTACATAATTTTTATCCTGGTCAAGGAGACCACACAGCCCTGATGGTCCTGACCATTTTTTACCCCTGCAGGCTCCACAGGAACATGAAACAGGAACAGCTATAGCCAAAGTCACTAGGAACAGGAGCTGGAACTGAATTGTGCAACATGAGTGGGATGTTCCTCCTAGCTTCAAAACAGCCTCTGGCTTGTAAACAGGTCTCCACTTCATTTCCTCCATCCCTCTGCAATAACATCCAAGTTGGGATAGGGATGCAGACAGAGGGAGGCCATACTCCGTCCCACTCTAGTCCAGCTCCGATGCTACCCAACATCATGATGAAAATCAACATGCATGGTGAATTTTTTTTTTCTGGGGATAAATCTAGGACCTTGAAAATGCTAGGCTAATGCTCTACCACTGAGCCACATCTCCAGCCCCACATGCACAGTAGTAATTTCATGATAGACTCACAGTTGCATATAAAAACATTCTAAGCCTATGGTCAGACTTTAAATTTCCCCTCCTACGTCCTTCTGTCTACCGAAGGCAATCCTAAGCTACAGCTGGACATGAGGGTACAGAAAACCATACAGGTTATAATGAGCCTCATTTTTATCCAGGTCAAGTCACATTTAAAACTGCAATAAGGACAGCTACAAAGAGAAAAAGGGGAACACCTAAGTGCCTAATTTGACTTATTTCTCACCTATTGGCCTTCCCATATGCTCACCCTCCTGCCTAACCCCTAGCTGGCTGACTTCTATTCACCCTTTAGTTTTCAGAGAAGCTTCCTTTATTACCTAGGCTGGTTACATCCTTGTTCTGAGGTTCTAGTCTTTTCTATCCAGCCTTTGATACTTCCTCTCTGGTCACATTATTTAATTCCATCTTCTTAAACTATAAGCAACAGTGTTACCAATAAACTGAGGGTTCTTTTGATCAATTTGTATAGAAATCATGAATAGACAATGTATAGCTCTTTCTGTGCTAAAAACTTTGAGCTCAGCCAGTTGTGGTGGCGCACTCCTGTAGTCCCAGCACTTGGGAGGCTGAAGCAGGAGCTTCAAGCTTGAAGCTTGCCTCAAGTTCAAGGCCAGCCTGGACTATATAGTTCATTCATGGCCAGCCTTAACTATATAGCAAGACCCTGTCTCAAAACAAAACAAAACAAAACAAAAACCCTTGAGCTGTCAAAGCCGGTGGCTCTTAGCTCTTAGTATTAGTCACCTTCCACCACTATCCTGGCAGCGAGAACCTGCAGCTACTAGCAACCCCAAAAATGCTTCCAATGACAGCTCTTGACAATTCTCCATCATCTTCCATCATTATCTGCTGCTAGCTACCTTCAGTGTAACCAGCTCTGGATTCTGACTGCTCTTGGTGCCAGCAGCCATTAGTGAACGAGCTCAGCTTCTTTTACTACAGATAGAAAGATAAAAATCACAGATATGCACAAATCCCATCCTAAAGAGGCTTTATTAGGATTATGCTGCAGCATAAGGACAAACGAGCATGGACTAACCTCCTAAGGATACAGGGAGGTTGCTTATATAAAAGAAAAAAGCAGGCTTGTGCATGCACAATTTCAGACTTTTGGGGCAGTGTGGATGATGGTTCTTGAGGACCTGATTGAGAATGGCTGCAGAGAGGTGGAGTTATCTGGAATGGACCAGTGACCAAAGCTTGCTGTAGCCAAAGCAAATGTCTCCTGAGACAACTGTGGGGTATCTGATGCAGCCACAGGCTAAGGTGTTTGGACCATCTGCAAAACAGAAGAAAAAAAAAAAGTACAGTAGCCATGTCCTGTCTCAGCAGGAGGCCAAAACGAGTCTCTCTTCATCATACTTATGTCCCCAGTACCCAGTATATTCCTGGCATGTGGTGGGTGGGTGCTCAGGGACATTTATAGAATGTATAGGAGCAAAGAGATCTGTCCTTCTACCCTCTGAAGGTTCAATGTTTGAGATCCTGAAATAAACTGACAATAGATTGACAGGAGAAGAAATATACATTTATCATGTACCTTTGTGACCAGGAGCCACACAAAGTAGGAGACTCAAAGAAAGCCCCAGTGG